ATCAATGAAACAAAGAGCTGGTTCTTTGAAAGGATAAACAAGATTGATGAACCTCTAGCCAGGCTCACCAAGAAGCAAATAGAGAGGACCCAAATAAACAAAATCATAAATGAAAGAGGCAAAATTACAACAGACCCCACAGAAATACAAAGAATTGTAAAAAAAAAAATACTATGAGCAACTCTATTCTAACAAACTAGTCAACCTAGAAGAAATGGATATATTCCTAGAAAAATATGACCTTTCATACTCAATCAGGAAGAATAAGAAAATCTGAATAGGCTGATAACTATGGAGGAAATTGAAGCAGTAATAAAAAAAAAAAACTAGCAGCAAACAAAAGCCCTGGACCAGATGGCTTCACAGGAGAGTTTTACCAAACATTCAAAGGAGAACTAAAACCTATCTTCCTCAGACTATTCCAAAAATTTCAAGAGGAAGGGACACTTCCAAGCTCTTTCTATGAAGACAGCAGTACCCTAATCCCAAAACCAGATAAAGACATTACAAAGAAAGAGAATTACAGGCAAATATCTCTGATGAATATAGATGCTAAAATCTTCAACAAAATTCTAGCAAATTGGATCCAGAATTACATTAGAAAGATCATACACCATGACCAAAAGAAGGATCTCTTACCATTTGCAACAGCATGGATGGACCTGGAGAGTATTATGCTAAGTGTAATAAGCCAGTCAGAGAAAGGCAAGTGTCACATGATCTCACTCATATGTGGGATCTAATCAACAAAAATAAACTGATAAAATAGATCCAGAGACAAGAAGCATGGAAAAAAACTGTTGAATTTCAGAGGGAAGGCGGGGGTGGTGTATTAGTAGGAAGAGATCAACCAAAGAACTTGTATGCATATATGCATACTAGTGCCCCAGTGCAGTGATCCATACACATTGAAAGGAAATTAATTAGAAGGTGGCAGGCAAGGTGGGACTGGGCAAGACAGGCCAGATATGCCCTGGAGCCAACCTCCCATGGTCCCTCCCTGGCCAGCCACAGCTGAGGTGGTGCCACGGCTCAAAGGGTGTCTGCGGAGTGAGTGGGGTCCCTCCGGCAGGTGGGGTCCCTCAGCCTGGCCTGTGGGGATCGGGCCGAAACTGGCACTGTGACATCCCTCAAGGGGTCCTGGATTGAAAGAGGGCAGTTCTCAGGTGACACAACCCGAAATCAGACTCCCTCCTCTCTGGTTCCACAGTACGTCACCTGAGAACCTCTGCTGCCAAGTCACTACAGCTTGGCAGCTCCTGTGTTGATTGTCTGCCCCTATTGGTCATTGCACATCATAGCTACAGGTCAGATGGTCGGACGGTCACTTAGCCTTTTATATATATAGATTCCCTGGATAAGGACAATAGAGTGGTGAAGGCCTGGTGCAGGGAGTGGGGGTGGGTAGAAGAGGTCAGTGGGGGAAAAGAGGGACATATGCCATACTTTCAACAATAAAGATTTTTTAAAAATATTTTTATTGATTTCAGAGAAGAAGGTAAAGGGAGA